CCATGGCTGGACTAAAAGGTGAGATGTCATATTTGGCCAATATGAAGTCAATGTGTGCAATGTAATGTTTTCTCACTAGGTCAACGAGGTGACCTTATAATACTGGGCCAGTGCAGCTGAACCTATTCCATTTTACCACCAGTGATATAACTGCCCCTGAGCTTTCAGATAGGTAGGACTCACAATAAAGAATGGAAGAAAACACATAAACAAGGGAAGAATGTACTATTCCCTCTGCACAGCCTTACCAGGGCCTCTTCATCCTGCCCATGCATGCCACTCTCCTATTCATTCCTTTGGAGAACTGGACCCATGGTGGCTTTCAGCAATCATTGTAGAGTATGGCTCTCACCATAGGAATGAATGGAGCCACCCCTGGTTTATTCTAGGTGGGGCAAAATGTGCAAAGTTCTGTAAACCCAGAGGTGATTACTGAGAGGCTTCTATGGGGTGCTGCACAATGCTTTTTGATGGCCGAATCACACCATTGCATTATTAATGCACGTATTTTGCTTTGCGTTAAGGCAACCAAAAATTTGGAAGGGCTCCTAATATGCGTCAATGCAAGAAAAAGCACCTTCACTGTTTCTGACAGCACAACATGTGCAGAACATTCACATCTGTATGTTGTGGTATGCTACAGAGCAAGTGCATCAAGGTCTACTGCATGGGTCGGCCCACTTGGCACTCCAGCGTGCTATGCCCAATGAAGTCATGCATGTGGCTGACAGTCTTGCAATGCCTTATGGGACTTGAAGTTCCACAACAGCTGGAGTGTCAAAGTTGCCCACCCCTGGTCTACTGTATATATGTGTTGGGATGCCATTGAGAATGATTGGCAACGTCTTGCAATGCCCATACTATGTATTAATTGGAGGAATTAATCCAATCTAAATGTAAACTCTACTGACAAAATACATAGGATGCCATTGTTGGACTCTCCTTTTGAAAACACTGTTATGTTGGCCCAAAGGCTGCAGTACATTCTGAGTCACTGACCAAGAACAAGTATGCAGATCAACTTTTCTCTGATTTTACTTGCTGCTTGCTTGTTGTGTGATGTTTCTGTGACATCAGAGACTGCAAGGCAACTAGCAGTTTCTGAACAAGCTCAGCAATGGCAGCTCACTGTATATTTCTCACTACAGGTTTCCTTTAAAACAAGGTTTGGCTACACATAAGATTTTTTCCCTTAAGCCACGCATACAAGGTTCTATTTATTTTGTTCAACCTGCGGGCTGAGCGAACGAAAATAGAGCAGATTCCTCCATCAAAGCTTACAGAATCCCCTGCTGCTTTTATTCTATTATATTATTATAAGACCTGAACAGAGCTTGAAGCTAAGTGGCTGCCAACTGCATTTGGCAGAGAAATTTCCAATCTGCTCCTTCGATCAGCTGATTGAGGGATGGCGGGCAGAGGGTACTGACAGTGGCACCGACACAGCGAATTTCGCCCAGTTCATCAAGTTTAGTAGGATGAGATGAGCTCTTTGCTGAGAAATAGTTTATAAGCAGCTCTTGGAATTCCATGAGATTCCATGAGATATGGTTATAAAACAAGGGTGAAACAAGACACTTACAGGGTTATTCACAAAAGGGTGAAGAGTTTGGAGAAGGCAGGAGACGTGAACAATCTAGGACAGTGGTGGCGAACCTTGGCACTCCAGCTGTGCCAAAACTACAAATCCCAACATGCATCTGCCTCTGGGAGTTATGTCTGCGGCTGCCTTGCAATGCCTCATGGGACTTGTAGTTCCAAAACAGCTGGAGTGCCAAGGTTCGCCACCACTGATCTAGGACAACATAGCTGAACTGGAAAGTGATCTGATATGGAGAATTTTTCCAGATCAGCTATGTTGTCCTAGATTGTTCACTTCTCCCACCTTCTCCAAACTCTTCACCCTTTAGTGAATAACCCCCTTAGTGTACTTTAAGTCAATTTCGGTTTTGTTAATTATTCAATGCAATAAATGAACATACTAAAGCTTGGGAAAATGTAAACATAGCCGGACATTTGACATCACCTGCCCCAGTTGTATAATTGCCCCACTATGTGTGGAAAATATCAGCAATAGATTAACTCCATTAAAAAATCGAACTTGTATCTGATTCCCTGCTAGATGACACACATTCCCATTCCAGTCCTGACAGCCTGGGATACACACAGTATTATTTATGTTACCCGAGCCCTGAACTCCTCTCGAAGTCCAGAGGGTGATTAGTTATAAAGCCTTGGATAAGTTTAGAAAGTTTATATTGGGTCAGAACTGACCATCAATTGTCACATCCTTGAATGAGGGTACATGAAGACACCCAGCTGGCACCACTGAGATCTCACAGATACATAATACCTGATGCCACGTAGAGCCAAGTTGGTGAGAGAGACATGCCCTGTATAATCTGCCCAACTACAACTCCAGTATAACTACGCAGTAAAGGAATGCACTCAAGGCGACTGAACCACCCATTGGATATGCCCAGATAATGTAGGAGTACAAGTCCCAAAATGATATAACACTTTATTACTTATTATTAAATCTTCATCAAAATAATACATTTAGGGCTTGTGTACAAGGGTCGTTGTTATCAAACATAGCGCTGTTCAAACGCATGCGACACTAAGGGCTTGTTCACACAAGATTCATTGGGGCTGCACTGAAAAAAGGCTTCCAATACATGGAAACGGCAAAAAAAAGAGTCAACAGTACAATGCCCAATGATCGCCGCATCAGCACTGTTTCTCAAACAGCATACCAGTAGCCACTCGTTTAGCATGGCTTGCTGGTGTGATAAAGGTGTTGTGTACAAGGGCATTGATTTCCTGCATTTGGCATCAAACGCAGATCAGCAGATTCCTATTGGGTTTAATGGACTCATGAAGATGACAGTTCAGAGGCAGCATTTTACCTGCTTTGCCTTGGGTTATTGAGGTGCGTATGGATTGCAGGCAATCGATAATACGAAATCACCTGCACTCCATACAGCGTACAGACCTTGACGGAGGGTTGGTGCTTGAAGTGACAACACGGATGGCGCTGTGTCAGATACAGTCCATAATAGAAGTCACCAGCACTCGATGATATGTGCAAGAAGTAAAGCACTTTTTATGAAATTGTCACATGCGTCATACAGCCAACGTTTCAGGGCCACGCAGGGTCCCTTCCTCTGGGCGACATAGTGACTAGAAACGTTGGCTGTGTGACGCATGTGACAATTTAATAAAAAGTGCTTTGCTTCTTGCACATATCATTGAGTGCTGGTGACTTATATTATCAATTGCAGGAAAAGCAGAACAAACACTTAATTTGACATAAACGCCTGTCTACATGAGCCCTAAATTTGATTGATCAGATGGATACATCTTCTATATAAAAAAACATACTGACAGATAGAATGCAATCATATTGATAGAGATAAAGATAGATGGGTGGACGGACAGACAGACAGATAGATAGATAGATAGATAGATAGATAGATAGATAGATAGATAGATAGATAGATAGATAGATAGCTATAGAGGCTACTGAATATTCGTTTTACAAATGTATAATGTAATATAATAATATGAAATAAAATAAGGTAGTGTTAGATGCTATTCATGCATTGGTGTATTCCACATAAAAGTCATATTTTAGGTATAGGTGAACCCTAGTGGGCTGAGTCAGCGCCTGCCTTCTTATTTGTCTTGGATAGCCCAATGGAGTGATCTCTCTGTCATAATTCCCATATCTGTTCCTGTCCATCTGGGAGGTCTGGGTGTTCTCTGTCCACCTTTGTGTGTCCCAGCATGTGCTGCCTCATTGTCCATAATATAAAATAGATTTAATAAAAAAATCCAACAGGGAGAGCGGAAAATCCTTGTAATGGCCAAAGCAGATGTGCCGAAGAACTCAGCACAGAGATGTTACTTAGGCTCTGTTCATATCTATGCGATGTGGGAGCGCGTACGATGCATCACATTAGCGTATATTAGGTGTGCTGCTTTGTCATTATTTCTTAAGAGCACCCCAACGCACCTAGCCGTCACATGTGCCTTGCATCGCAGTACATCACATGGTAACATATGCTTATGTTATATGGTGCAATGCGATTTAGAAAAAAAGGTGCACACACTTGTTTCAGTGCAATTTAGCTGCAGTAGGCAGAACATTCAAATGAATAGTCTGCCTAGTGGAGCGCACCAAAGGTGCGCCCCTCAGCACCTCTGCAATGTCGCATCACAGAGGTGTGAACGAGGGCAAACACAGTCTATACAACTGGTATAAATAACTGACAAGCGGTTAACCTCTCTGGCATCTACCCAAAACTGAAACATCAGTATTGGGTGGACTGATCCTTGAGGCTAGGTTCACACTTTCGAGATTTCTCGCGCGGATCGGATCACGTGATATCGTGCAAAACACAGATGCACATTAAAGTCGATGGAAGCTGTTCACACCTTTGCGGCTTGTTGCACGGACGAAATCGCCTGTCGCACGAAAAGGTGCAGGAGCTATTTTCGGACGGTTGACAATCGTGCGGTTTTCGATGAACAGTCACGCGATCGAAAACGCGTGACAACCGCGCGAAAAACAGGTCAGCATCTGAATCGCCTAGGTGTGAACCTAGCCTGAGGATGAATAGGCACTCAGCATCCCTGCTTCCTGTGACCATTCTTTCACATTCAATATTAATGTTGCAAAGAACAAAATGATGAAAACTGAAAGAAAGAGAATATTGCATGTTTCCTATGGCAACCAAAAGGCTTACGCCTTCATCCTGCAACCCCGTGCTAGAAAATGAAACAAGGATGTTATCTAACTGCTACTGACAACAGCTGCAAACGGCTTTGCTCCAGTTATTTTTATAAATCAGAATAACAGACAAGTTATTAAATGCTCTTATACAGACTACATACAGGACAGGAGCAATTAAATGTAGCATAATAGGGTATCACATGCCATATCCACACATTATAGTGTGATGGGATAGAGCTTGTTCATTGTGAAATAAACTCACCAAGCTGTCAGTTGTAGTAGCCCCTGTTGGTGTGTGTCCTGTGTCAGAGCCCCCCCAGCCTTCTCTCTCCTGGAAGGTCCAGAGAGTGTGTGAGCTGTCACTGGGACTGTGACACTCAATGCCAGAGGGAGAGGCCACGCAGAAGGGGAGAGGACTAAAACTTCCCAAAATGACTCTATCTGTCCTGTCATTGGATGCAAGGGGGCTGACATCACAAACATTTCCCAGCTGTGTGATACAGTATATTATCGAGTGCAGAATGTGATATTATATTGCAATAACAGCTTCTCTCCATGCATAGCCCAATGTCCTTGCAACTTTTATAGCACCAAGGCTGGCCGCAAACATGTACTAATCTCCATCGAAAACTCAGAGAACTCTATGTCCTTTTCTATAGTCAGAACCTGAAAAATTACCTTTTATGAAGAATGCAAAGTTCTTCTAGAAAAGGAAATTATCTTTAAAGTGACATTAAAGTCAAAATGTTTTTAATATATATCAAATTCTGATGAAATCACTTACAATGGATGCTGCTCCTTGATGTTTAAAGTGAAATTAAAGGATACATTTTTTCCCCTCCCCCCAATGTTAGTGTAAGGACTTACCTTAAATGATGTCTCTTAATCCGATCTTCTTTCCTGTCCTTTTCAGGATTCTCTCCAGCGCTGCTGCGGGTCTCAGATCCAGCGCTGACTACTCTGTCCTTGCTGGTACTTCCTGTCCCACGGTGTCTGCATGCGGGTGCACGCGTCCATAGACTTACCTTGTGTCTCCCCTCGTCTCCCGGCCGAAAATCTGAACTGCGCATGCGCCCGCCCCAAGATCCTTTGCAGCCCCCTGAGATTTTTAACCTCTTTTAAAACGTTTTGTTCTTAACAAAAAGTTTTTGCATATATCTACTGCTTGCTAGCCTTATATATATGCAAAAAAACCTGAGTGTTTAATAACCCTTTAAGGCCAGGTTCCCACCTATGCGATTCAGATGCTGAGCTGTTTCCGCACTGTTGTTTTGCGCCTTTTCGATCACGCGACTGTTCATTGAAAACAGCGCGACAACTGCCCGAAAATAGCTCCTGCACCTTTTCGCGCAACAGGCGATTTTGTCCGTGCGACAAACCGCGAAGGTGTGAACAGCCTCCTTTGACTTCAATGCGAATCTGTGTTTTGCGTGATATCGCGCGACCCAATCCGCACGATAAATCGCCAGTTGTGAACCTAGCCTAAAAGTTTTAGTTTCCTGTAAAACCAGCTGGTCCCCTGAGCATCGGTCTTGATATCCTGTTTAAGGCTCCATTCACATATGAGCATTGGATTCCAATGTGCATTGTACACACTAGGGCGGAAAAAAAATGCACGTTCCGCTAAAAATCCTAGCACGATTTTATGAGTGGTCTCCGTGCGTATGTTACCGTTTGCGTGTTTTCATGCAAACGCCATATGTGAATGGAGCCTTAGGGTGGCTCCTTTCCCTCGCAGGCTCCTATGGAGCCACCGTTGTGTGTTCTAGTCAGCTGTCTCCACAAGCATACAAACACAGCAAGGCAAGCCAGTCCCCTGCTCCCCACTCCTTCCTTCTCAAAGCTAGTAGGAACAGCTGCTGGAGATTGTGCTCTGTCCCTTGTGGACGGGAAGTTCAGAGAAGTGGAGCTAAGAGAGTTGGAGCTGTTCGGAAACATGATGACTGTAAGTGTTTGGGCACGGATGTAAAGCAATGCTTTGCAGGACAATGTATATTTGTTTGATCTGCATTCGAGATTGAGAGTTTTATACTAATTTAAAATGGAACTGCAACCATAACCTTGTAGTGTGTGAAAGACTTAGAAAATGTTTTGCAGTCTATGGCCCTGTTGTTGAGATCTATCCTCCCTGTAATTATTGCCGCCAGGATAGAAAATGAGAAAAAATCTAACATTTCACATTTTCCTTGACTTTTTCCTCCACTTCCTGTAGTGTCTCTGAGGGAGGAAGTGAGTTGAAATCGTCCCATTGTCAGATGATAACTCTTCTCCACTTTATCCAAAACTACACAAAAAGCTTGAGCTTCCAGTTTGATTGCCCGTAAAGAAGCTGGAAAACGTCACTGCCAATGCAGGAGGTTTCACTGATAGCAAATGTTGGGTCTCACTGATTCATTGACATGCTGCCATGGATGGGCTAATTTGTTTTTTTTTAATGTCCCCCCACCGCTCTGACTGCAATACTCAGCCTGCAGAACTCTCTTTTCGACACAAGATGTCCTCAGTCTTCCGGGCTGAATGACGCCCAGCATGAGGACAGACTGTGAGGGAGTCATGGGCCCACCCTTTGAGGGAGCAGCATCACGCCAAGCCACCCTACAATCGTTGTGTACTGGCGCGTTATTGAGGACTACCCACTGCTGGGTAAAGAACAAATAGGGAAAGGACCCTGTGACATCACATGACTGGCTTAAAGACTTTGACAAAAGGTAAGTATTAAGAGAAATTAGCATAATGCTGGCGGGATCTTAAGGTGAGGAGGAGGAGCACAGGGAGATGGAAGAAGTGTGCCCAGAGATGGGGATTAAAGCACAGCTGTGCTTTTGGCATTGTAGGGCAAAGTAATAGGTTTACTTTAAAAAAAGAACTCCGGGCATAATTTTTCTTAACTCTTACATTGAGGCTACTGTTTAGCTGGAAACATCCACCAATGGGCAGACATGAAGCCAGAACCTAAGTGGGTAGATCCTGCAGCTGGAATCCCCAAAATCTGTAGGAAGCCAGCAGGTAATTTAATTATTCAGGCTACACCTATCATTGCAATACATCTGGGTGGATGGATTGATAGAGAAGAAAAAAGCAGAAGAGTGTGTATGGAAAATCTATATATTTATTTCATTCTTATTGTGGAGTCCATAATGCCGCATGTAAACATTTCATTTTATCAAGTTTATTTGATCTATAGTGCTTTACCGTATCTATTCAACACTGAATACAATCTAACAGGGATCATAAAATTTGAGTGGTGTTTATTTTGTTTTTGCATTGTTTTCACCAAAAAGGATTGTTGCCGAGTCTGAAAAAGAAACAAAGACGCATAAAAGGAACTGTGACCTGCAGTGTTCAAATGACCGTGAAAGCACAAACATTGACACGTGAAAGTGATATTGTTTTACACCATTACATTATAGCTTGTTTCCAAGCATTCTAATTTATCATTTTCTTTTATAGTAAACAAACATGCACATACATATTTACAAACTATACATGCAGCCACATATTGTACAATACATTTACACACATTACTGTACTTTCTTTTGATTTAAAGGAGAATTATTATTTATGAGTGAAAAACACTCATCCCCATAATTCAAGCCGACCTGTGACATTGAAACTGTCACACGTCGGCTCTCAGTGAACACACTTTGCCGATCATTGACTTCCCGATCCTCTCCCTGCAGAGAAAGGTGACTATCTGTCACAGCCCGCCACAGGGATTCCCCTCTTCCCTCTCCGTTTCTCCAGCGCTGGGTGGGCGGGCACAGCAAGCTCTGGCTCTAGAGAGGCAGAGCTAGCTGTCAATCAGCAAGATGGGTGGATCTCAACAGTATGCGCTGTCAGCATATAGCTGGCAGTAGCACACTATTTATTGAGTTTTGGGTCACCGGAGGACATTAGTATATGTCCTCCTGTGACCCTGATGAGAACTATCGCCAAAAAAGGTTGGCCCATAGTTCTCTTTTAATGTCTTCAGTTTCGGGGACCATAAAAGATTATTTTTGTGTTGTGCTGCACTCATTTAGTCACTAGAAAGACAGATACCCTCAATCAAATTAAGCTGCAGGGACCCAGAGACGTCCCTAGCATTTTCGCCTCCTGACTTGGGTGTGTGCTGGTGGTGGATGCCATGGAAGGAGGAAGAGGGAAGTGCTGCCTCTGCATCATCTCCCCGCCCAGGCTCTGGCCGGCATGCAATGACAGTGACGTCACTGGTTGCCAGGAGCTGGACGGGACACCGGGCAGAGCACCCAGGTTAATAAGAGCTGGGCAGGAAGATATGTATGGCCCTTACACATCTCACCGCCTGGCTCTTAGCAACCTGAGATGCTCTGGCCGGAAAGAGGGTGGCAGGCACACTGCAAACATTGTGCAGTAGAGCGGCTGTGTCGCTCTGCCTGCCTTCCCCCTCTCTATGTGACCAAGGCTGCCTCATTATAGAAATGGCCCTGCAGTTACCCACAATCATTTATTAGGACTTGGCCAACATTTGAATGTGGAACATGTTAGGTAAGGGGATGTTTTCAAGATGCAGACGAGCTGGAAAATCTCTGCATGCCATAACAAGCAATACTCTAATGTTAGCCACTCCAAAGCTAACCTCATATTACATGCAATGCTCAATCTGGCTTCATTGCTTGCAGTTTCCTATGTCTGCAGGGCCACACTAATCCTTTACCGTCTCTATAGGTACAGGAGGAATGACTATAGCATTGGGATTTGACGAAAGTGTGTATTAAATTGTGTGGGAAAGCGGCAGCGTGTGTGGTGGGGGCCACGATTGGTGTCGTTATACAAACTACGTTCTCTATCAAAGAGATGCAGCCCCTTCCTGCTGACTTATCTGTACGTGGAATGAGCAGCGACTTCCCTCCAGGATGTATACTCTCTGTAAATATATATATATCTGTACGGTTCCCAGGAACAACAACTGCTGGGGAGGGGACTAGAGGCATGCACTGCCAACTACAACAGCCTCCGGTGAATTTGTTATCATAGGATTCTAATTTAAAGTGCACCTGTCATTTTGCACGAAAAGATTATGTTGCAAAGGAAAAGGACAAATTATGCAGGCAGTGTCCCTTTGTGTGAAGTTAGGAATGAGGGAAAAAACAGAATTAAAGTGACACTAAACTACCTCAGGAGCTAAATATTAAAAATTTAATCAAGTCCCATAGCTATTAACTATGTCACTATTAAATTTAGTCTTATATTTAGACTGTAGTCAGTCTGAATGCTGATTGTTCTGAGGTTTCCCTAAGTCTGGTGGATTGATTGTTTCTACCTGTTGCTGGGTTGGGGCCTCAGCATACAGTGTGGGAGGATCAATCCTACGATT